CAAAACGCGCGTTTTAACAAAAATCTATCAACGCGCGCTTGGTCAAAAGCGCGCGTTTGAGTGTGTACGCCTATGTAGAACTCTTGGTTCTTTAAAACGCGCGTTTAAAAACGCCTGTGTGTACACAGCCTTACTGACTATCTAGTTACGTATAAATACAAACGATAACTTAACAACACTGAGCGGCAGTTGCGATTTTGAGTCCCGCTCGGGCGGAGTATTTTTTTCCATAAAAATCTAGTCCGATAGTTCGATAATTCGGCAGATCGTCTGGCTTTAAAACTATTTTTGATTGGTCCCACATCTTCCTAATTTTTAAGCACATAGAAATGACCAAAAAAGTGAGAAAAGTGAGAAAATGACCTGAAAAGTGAGAAAAGTGAAGATACTTCAGAAAAGTGAGTACAAGTGAGAAAAGTGAGCGACTCCGAGGCCTGCAGTTGTCTTTAAGGATAAGATCATGAATTTCATCTGTTAATGCTGATATTGAGCATCCAGAATTTGCCTCATGTTACCTTGAAATGGTCAGTTCAGAAATGTGCCACCTACACTGCAGGAACTAGAACTTCATGAATACACATCAATGTTGCTGAATTCCAGTTTTGGTGTAGTCAGCATTAATTCAAATTGTTGAAGCAAGAAAAACTAATGGTCATAACATACTTTTATGGTCCATGCTCTAGCAATGACTTCCTCTATTATTCTCATAATGATGGTTTTGCCCTTAAATTCTGAATAAGATTATCGAATCATTTTAAACTTATGCAACCAGTATTTTGTAACCTAAATTTACAATGAGAGAGATAGTGGCACCAAGCTATCAAACAATCTAGAAGGAATCTGCATATGTTTAATAGCTCATTTGAAAGCTGACTGCCTCCTGTTTGCCCATTTAAAGGTTTATTTAAAAATATTGAGCATTTATAAGATAATAGCATATTTTAAAAATTTTAACATATTATTGGTCAATTAGTTAACAAGTAACATGATGTGCCTGCAAACTATCATTTGACTGTCAGGTAAATATAGAATTATCATGAAAATTATCCTATTATTAAGTTATTGATGGCTACAAATATTTGGAATTCCCATTAAAAAAACCAAGTTGAAAAGTAAAGCCCCATGAAAACATCTAAATAAAGGAAACTTTTGAAAGCTGTGGCATAAAAATACTGGAACCAGATTTGAGAGTAAGACTCAACATAGAAATAAAGTGCACATTATTCAAACTACAACTACAGTAAGTTTTGCATGAAGCAATGTCACTATGATAATAAATCATTACAGAAAAAGACTTCAAGCTTTACAAGTGCCTTAAAATTCCTTTACTAATATTTTGAGCAATATTATTGAAAGAAATTTAAGACAGAATAAAGCTCAAAGCATTTTTCTGTGACAATGCTTGTTTTCCTGATTAAGATTCTATTAATTATAAATATTTAATTAAATGTTTATGTTGAATGTTAAACATTTCTTTTTGAAAATACTTTGAAAAAAATCAAAACTACTGTTATTTGAATATCATGTCTATTTTGCAATACTAATATATTTTTAAATGAAATAGTCACTGCATAAGAAAAATATTAAAAATTACTGATAACATAATTTACTCACAGGATCCATAGTAAATGTGGCTCTGTCCCAATCTACAGAACAGCCCATCAGTTTCAATTGTTTGTAAATATTGTCACCTTTTCTATAATTATAATTTTTAAAAATTACAAATTATCAAATACTATATAAAATGATTAATCAATCAATAAGTATAAATAAATTTTTACTAGCTTACTTTTTCAAAATAATAGCAAAACAGAAAGTAACTTAAATTTTAGCATCCCTTTAATTAAACAATTAATTCTAAATGATAGAATTCAGTAGTAAAAAATATAGAATTCAGATAGTAAAAAATATATAGTTTATCTTTGATATGAATATTAAAGACCATATGTTTAAAAGAATGTTTGTTTATATAAGCTGAAAACTGTTCATATATAGACTGTTACTATTAAAATTAATATAATAAAAATTTAATGAATGCAAATGAAATTAAAGTTTAATATAATCAGGCTTATATATTTTAGAGAAATCAAAAATCATGTGGTGTTTATAGAAAACATTTTCTTAAAACTAAGACTTTTGTCACAATTAGACTTACTATAAGAATATTTTAAAATTCATCAAAAGTAAAGAATTTTATAAAAACAATACATTATTTATTTTGTATAAAGGTTAACAACACTCTTTAATAGGTACTGGTATAATATATAATAAACTCCCATCAACCTTTAAATGACCAGTAAAATATTTAATAGTACTACAAACGTTTTCGACCGTTTAACCTGAAGAAGACCGGAAATAACAGTCGAAAACATTTCTAGTACTTTTAAATATTTTACTGGTCATTTAAAGGTTGATGGGAGTTTATTATTTATTTTATACATTAATTTGTAAAGATCCATATAAACCTGATTACACACATTAAGATTTATAATTAAATCATTCAATTAAAATTTAATTTCAATTCATTATAACTATATACATAAACAGCCAGATTGTTGAATGATAAAGGTAGCCCATTAAGCTGTTTCTACATTATCAGAAAACAGAAACAAAAATTAATAAAATTCATTCCACTTCATTTTCTGTTTAATTCTATTTCCACTAAATCAAAATACTTCAAACAGATATCTGTTGACTATAGTGCTACTTATAACTAGGAATAGCCCAACTTTGTCATAATGCAATAGAATTGAGGCAGAGATGGAAAGAAAGAGGTGATCCCTGCACTTGTTAGGCACAGAAAAGACAATCCTCGTATCCTAATGAATGGTAAACTTTGCACTTACTGCCACAGGAGAGGCTATCCTTGTACCTATTGGCCACGGGAAACACAATCCTTGCACTTGCCAACATGGAAAGGTGATCCAACAACAAACCAATTGTTATTGATTGCTTTGTTCATTTTTGTGCCTATTTTGCTGTTAGACACATGCAATGCTGTTTTTATTTTTGACCTTTAGGCCTAAATTCCATTGGGCATGCTGTCACAGCAGAGAGCACAGACACTGTCACCTTAATACCTCTGTATATCGAAAACAAATTCATCAACTCCTATATTTTATGTTTAAATGGACCCTCATTATATTTTTGGATTTCTGAGTGCAATTAATGGAAAATGGCAAGTTTTATCAAAATCGATCCATTAAATTTTGAGAACAAACTCAATTCTACAGAAAAGCCCATAGAAAACATGATAGCAACAAAGTTGCATGATTAGTGCAATATTGCTTTGCCACATGCACGTGTGAAATCTTATATTTCAAAAACAAAATTGTGGACTCCCATTTTTTAATAATATTTTTGAATTCCTCATCCCAATTAATGGAAAATGACAAAATTTAACACAATTCTGTAAGCGTGTAGAAAAGGCTTCGCTAGTACTCTGCCTCAACTATCTGTTTGTAATTGTTGTATAAATGATCAATGTCATTAATGCATCATTACCATTATGTTTTTCTATTAATTAAAATCTGACAAACTTCCAGTAAAAATGGAAAAGTTGAAGAATTTTAATTAATAGAAAAACATAATGGTAATGATGCATTAATGACATTGATCATTTATACAACAATTACAAACAGATAGTTGAGGCAGAGTACTAGCGAAGCCTTTTCTACACGCTTACAGAATTGTGTTAAATTTTGTCATTTTCCATTAATTGGGATGAGGAATTCAAAAATATTATTAAAACATGGGAGTCCACAATTTTGTTTTTGAAATATAAGATTTCACACGTGCATGTGGCAAAGCAATATTGCACTAATCATGCAACTTTGTTGCTATCATGTTTTCTATGGGCTTTTCTGTAGAATTGAGTTTGTTCTCAAAATTTAATGGATCGATTTTGATAAAACTTGCCATTTTCCATTAATTGCACTCAGAAATCCAAAAATATAATGAGGGTCCATTTAAACATAAAATATAGGAGTTGATGAATTTGTTTTCGATATACAGAGGTATTAAGGTGACAGTGTCTGTGCTCTCTGCTGTGACAGCATGCCCAATGGAATTTAGGCCTAAAGGTCAAAAATAAAAACAGCATTGCATGTGTCTAACAGCAAAATAGGCACAAAAATGAACAAAGCAATCAATAACAATTGGTTATTAATTGACAAACTTCCAGTAAAAATGGAAAAGTTGAAGTATTTCCTGCTCTAGGTTTCCAAGATCATAAATTTCTAGACAGGAAGTGATGTCACTATTTTGTTTCTACAGTATTTGTGTAATGTGAAAATGGGCCTTTAAGGTTCACATTTATTTGTTGTTGGACTCTCAGAAATTTTTATGGATGTCAGGCTTTTCATCACCCAGTCATTCCCATTGGAAGCCATACCCATGATAAGCATAAGAAGAGTCTCTCTTAACAGGGTGGAAAGACTAATAAATAAATAAATAAATAATATATATTTATATATAATATACATATATATTGTTTTCATTCTCCTTACTCCTTTTTCCATTTCCAGATTTCTTCAATAAACTTTTCCCTTCCTAAATCATGGCGAGTTTTCTTTTGTTCGCGCCAAACTTTTTTCTCCACAACTACTTGAGTTGCTATACCAGCATGATCACATCCTGGATTCCATAAAGTTGTTTTTCCTTTCATTCTATTCCTATGATGAAATACCAAAATATTAATTTTTAAAATTTTTATCTATGTAATTTTTCATTACATTTAATTTTAATAGCATACCAACGAGTTACAGCATCTTCAATAGCTGAAGTAAGAGCATGTCCTAAATGTAAATTTCCTGTTACATTAGGTGGTGGAATAACAATGACAAATTTCCCCTTATGATTTTGTTCTTTTAAGTTTCTCTAAAATAAAGATGATTTTATAATTATAATTCGTATGTTTTCTTTTTAATGAAATTATGTCTTTTTTTGTTACTTTCTCTTACACACAATAAAGTGGTATAATAAGGCAATTGACTATCAACTCATCCACTTTATTAAATATTATATTTATATTTATTGCCAAGATGCATTTGGGTATAAATCCCTCTTTTGTTGACTAAAAATATACAATTGTAAATATTAAATTATTATTTTAATAATAATAATGTAGTATTTACAATGTAAAATGCTCTTTAAACTTACAACATACCTTGATATACATTCTTTCTCCCTTTTAAGATCACATTAATTTTAATCTTTATAACAGTTTTCATATTTCAACAAATGCAACAATTGCAATACATGGAATCAACACTTCTATGTTAAAATTCCTATTTTTTTATTTTTGGCATTTACATATTAGCTTTTACATTAATTCTGTATTTTATTATATAATTTACAAATTATATAAAAATATATAAGTTGTTTATATTTTTTATAATTTTATATTTTAAAATTACATATTATTTTTACAAATTTTACATATATTCCATTATTTCTTTTATTAATTTATAATAATTTGATCCAGTTTTCATTTATCCTCACATTTATTTTTGCTAATTTCATTTTTAGTTTTTAATATTTCTATACTTTCTTTAAATTTTCTATTATATGAATTGACTTCTCCATGTAAAACTGTAGTGTTTTCTTTATCTATATTACAATTATTAAATAAACAATGTTCATGAAAAACAGAATTATGCCTTCTATATTTTAAATTAGTTAATTTCCTTTTAGTTCCCCTATATAGTGATGACTACTTTTAGAAGTGCAAGGAATGGAATAAACTATTTTTGCAGCTTCAAAGATTTATGAAAGATATTAATACTATCTTTATTAGTAAATATAATATTTACTAACAAAGTTAATATTAATATAATTCATATACTTAATATATGTGAAAATTTGTAAGTTATCATTCTATATTTATATAAAATTAATTTGTTGTACAAATTTAAAATTTAATTTATAAAAATAATTTTAATATGATGAAATATTCAGTATATAAATATGTAAAAAGTTCTTTTAAATAATATTCCAGAATAAAAATTTTTCTTGTTCTTGTTATGATGTGGTCAAGAATAACAATTTTTCTTGTTTATTAGAACATTTTCTTATTAATAATATTAATTTATAAACTAATTAACGTATTTACATTTCAGAAGATAATGTAAATTTAAGTATAGTTATAGTCAATTGGTAATCAAATTGATGGATTTTCTAATTGAATAAATTACATATTTTTTTTATAATTATTCATTTTCATATCTTCACTTTATAACAAATTGTCAATGACTAGGTGTAGCTCAAAACAACAGCACATTAGGAATTGTGTAACTGGTCAAAATTTTGTTTTTACAGGAATTTGATTCGTAACAAACTCAGCCAAAATTGATAAAGAATGAAAAATAAAACACTAAATTGGAAATATATGTTAGAATTTGAAATCTAAATTAGATTTTACTAAAAATTTCTCAAACTATAGGTGATAGATGATAATTTTATCGCAAATTATAAACTGTATAAATCAGAACTGTATTAGAATAAATTATAAATTGTCAGATGCCAAAATTTACAAACTTCATCTACATGTATATTATGCCAAGGACATTTTTGTTAGCTGAACTCCTAGATTTCTCAGCAGAGATGAACAATTAGATATTGATAGATAGCGTTGGGCCTGCAGATGTGCAGTAAGCATTTTATTTTTTTTATCTGATGATCTGTTCTGGAGATATCAGGTTCCAAATTTCTAAAATTTCCCTATCATTTTGTACTGGGACTCAATAAGAACTTTTTGTAATATTGAAATTTTGCATTGCTCTGAGTAATTCATAGTGTTGTGATGACTTAAGGTTGTTCATCAAAAGCAATTTCTTGAGTTTCTATTGGATTTTTCATCTATGACATACAAAGAAATTTTGTAATCCCTTTTGTAGTAGGTGTTGGGTGTGTGAATATATTGGACTACAAGTAACTTCTTATAAACATTAAATTACAATTTTTAATATAAATTAACTTTTTCTATTCAATTCCTTATTCAGCAGGTACCATAGTTTGTCTGTTAGTTCTTATTAAAAGTACTGTACATTAAAACAGCATAGAATTCCAAAAATAAAAACAAACATAAATAGAAGTTTCACACAGGAGGATTTTAGAATAATATATACAGGTATATTACAAATGTAAATCTTGTATATATTAAAATACAGGATTAAAGGCACGAAAAATTAAACAGAATTAAGAGTATTATGATGTTAAAATACTACCTTATATTCAGGCTTAAAAAATCCCATCTTTTCCCACCAAGCATACCAAGCTGCTTCTACATATGGCACACTATAACTGTCAGGCATTGGACCTGACACATCTATTGAATTTAAAAAATTATTAGAAATGTGTCAAAATTTAAATAAAAATTATTAATAAATTTTAAGATTTACCTTTTTTCTCCCCTTCTAGAGTAACTGCAAACAGATAGTTGAGGCAGAGTACTAGCGAAGCCTTTTCTACACGCTTACAGAATTGTGTTAAATTTTGTCATTTTCCATTAATTGGGATGAGGAATTCAAAAATATTATTAAAAAATGGGAGTCCACAATTTTGTTTTTGAAATATAAGATTTCACACGTGCATGTGGCAAAGCAATATTGCACTAATCATGCAACTTTGTTGCTNATAGTATTTTGTTCCAAACAAGAAAGCCTTTAGTAATATTTTTTAAATCCTGCATAGTAATGTATTTATCTTTATGCTATTATAAATTAAGAAGTTGTTGCTCATTTTTATTGGCATTGTTAAATTAATTTATATAAACTTGATAAATGACTAAAATATTAAACTAATTATTGAAAAACAATTTTCAAATTCCATAAAATGTCTAAGTAAAAACACAAAATAATGAGTAGAGAATTATTCGTTTTAAATACAATAAACTTATTTGTTGAAATAAAGTATCAGTGTGAAAACATTTCAAAATTTTATGCTTATGTATTTATGATCATTAATAAAAAATCATTTAATATCATAAATAAATACAAAACGTTTACAATTTTGTCAAATTAAATAAATTACAGTTAAATGTAATTTAAAGCAACTTCATTAACATATTTCATCATATTATGTTAAAAATGAATAAGTATTTCCTTCAATAAAAAATGATCTCTGGATGACTTTCACAATTCATGTTTACAATTTCTGACAATCCAACAGTTTGAAGCAGTTCAACAATCTAGTTTGAAAAACAGATTATTTTTTTCAAAGATGTCAAATATGAATTTGAAATAACTTATCTAATATTAACTTAGATAATTTCTTTCCTTTCTAAATATAAATACTGTATATGATACCATTTCATAGAAATTAATTTGTAAATAAGTTTTTAAACATCCTGTTTTTTCATTCAATGCAGCAGATCCTTCACAAAGTAGTTGCATTCAATAATCAAGACATAAATATTTATATTGGGTTAAATTTCAGATGGGTATACTGTCATGGTAGTGGTCGTGACTGTTTGTTCTCCCGACAGACTTGAATTGATACTTACTAGTTATTGATATGTGTGTTCAAGAACTACTTTTAATCAATGTTATATATAAATTTAATTTATTCCATAAAATAATTTATTCCACATAAAACTGTTATCGATAAGCATGATTTTACATCCTTGTGGACATCATCAGCAATCTGCAAGCCTTATATAAAGCAAAAAATAAAAAGAAATAATGAATTCAGAAATGATTCAACATAACAAATAGCTTTTGATTTAGAGATAAATGAAATTCAGTAACATATTTAAATAAAAGGAAACTCAAACTGTTTATTAAGGAAGCCAAAAATAAGACTTTGACACACAATTAGTTCTTATGATTAATTTTACTAGAGTATCACAAAAACAAAGCTTTTTGCTAAATATACATAATATACACAATATAAAGTTCATCCCAATGGGCAAGTAAAAAAAAAAATCATTAAAAATATTAGACCAATGTTTACATTTATGTGGCCAAACTAGAAGGAATGTAAAAATTTGAAATCTAATATCTAATGAAAGATTACTCTTGTTGGTATTTTTGCTTTCATAGAGATAATTTATAATAGGGTGTGCACTTTTCAAAACCAGCACATGACATTAGTAGCTTCTTTTTTTGTCAGTCATACTGTGTTTACATTGTTTAAGAATCATTTTTTTTTTTTTAGTTATTTAGATATTATTGGGCATGGTCTGCCTATTATTTAACCTGTGGTTGCTTGGACTGCTTGGGAGACTATCCGAATTTTTTGAAGAGCGATATAAACTGTTGTTTTTCTTTTTTTTAGGTAAGTTTTTAACCTAGTTGGTTGTTTTTTTTCTCGGTTTTTTTTTCGGATAGTTCTCCCATGTAGTTTAAGTTTGTTTTTTCTTTTTGTTGAATTTGGTTTAAAATAATTTTTGAATTGTGTAATTTTCTATTAATATTAAATTATGTTACTGCAATGGATGAATATAATCTGTGAAATGTGTATATTATTTTGTAATGTTTTGTATACTTTGTTTTATTCTATATCCCCGCATCAGGGTCTTTGTACCAGAATGCTAAATAAATAAAATAAAATAAATAAATAAATAAATAATATATAAAAAATATTATTGAAGTGCCAATTAATTTTTGTGTGTCTCTGTGTAATGCCAATAATAAGAAAGGTCCAGGTATAAAATTTCACAAATTTCTGGATGAAAATCAAGATATAAAGGAAAAGTTCCCAATAAAAAAAAAAGAAACAGAAAGTAAAGATATAATTAAAGATATTGTAAACAAAAATCTGTCAATATGCTCAGATCTGTAATAGGTATTCAATGAAAATGATTATAAAGTTACTAGTATAGGTAAGTTTATAGGACACTTTTTAATTTATACATTTTATGAAGTGTTACTTTGTATGACTTTTATTTAATAAGCACTGTACAATGCTTTTCACAGTTAGGCTTTTAGACATAGATTTGATTAGACTACATTATGTGTCTAGTCAAATTATGTCTAAAAGTTCAGAAGTTCTTGTCAAAATTCTAGTTGAACATACTGACTGCTAATAGTATTTTGTATTTATTTTTTAAATTAATCATTAACTACTTTTTGTAGCCTATTAATACCTCAATCTTAATATCACACATTTATTATTATTGCATTTCTTATGTATGATATGTAATAATGAATTTTTTTTATAATTATATATTATTTATTGATTATGCTACACATAACCTACATTCACGGATAGGATAACAAGAGCAAGATTGAAAACAAAAGCCATAAACTGTAAGTGTCACTTATTATTTTATGCAATAATTTTTTTAAAACTGTATTCTGGTTTAAAAAAGTGAAATCAGAATGCACACTTTTATTTATCAATGAAAAACAGCAGTTTAAAAGAGTCACTATCCATTAAAATATTCTAAAGGATCTAAAGCAGCTTAACTGTAATAAAAAACAATGTTGTTTAATTAAATAGTAAGTTACATTCAAACATTGGATTAGGTAGAGGTTACTGTAATCTACTGAAAGCTTTCTTGGAACAAAATAGTATTTTGTTCCAAACAAGAAAGCCTTTAGTAATATTTTTTAAATCCTGCATAGTAATGTATTTATCTTTATGCTATTATAAATTAAGAAGTTGTTGCTCATTTTTATTGGCATTGTTAAATTAATTTATATAAACTTGATAAATGACTAAAATATTAAACTAATTATTGAAAAACAATTTTCAAATTCCATAAAATGTCTAAGTAAAAACACAAAATAATGAGTAGAGAATTATTCGTTTTAAATACAATAAACTTATTTGTTGAAATAAAGTATCAGTGTGAAAACATTTCAAAATTTTATGCTTATGTATTTATGATCATTAATAAAAAATCATTTAATATCATAAATAAATACAAAACGTTTACAATTTTGTCAAATTAAATAAATTACAGTTAAATGTAATTTAAAGCAACTTCATTAACATATTTCATCATATTATGTTAAAAATGAATAAGTATTTCCTTCAATAAAAAATGATCTCTGGATGACTTTCACAATTCATGTTTACAATTTCTGACAATCCAACAGTTTGAAGCAGTTCAACAATCTAGTTTGAAAAACAGATTATTTTTTTCAAAGATGTCAAATATGAATTTGAAATAACTTATCTAATATTAACTTAGATAATTTCTTTCCTTTCTAAATATAAATACTGTATATGATACCATTTCATAGAAATTAATTTGTAAATAAGTTTTTAAACATCCTGTTTTTTCATTCAATGCAGCAGATCCTTCACAAAGTAGTTGCATTCAATAATCAAGACATAAATATTTATATTGGGTTAAATTTCAGATGGGTATACTGTCATGGTAGTGGTCGTGACTGTTTGTTCTCCCGACAGACTTGAATTGATACTTACTAGTTATTGATATGTGTGTTCAAGAACTACTGCGAATCAACAACTAGTGACATTAAACAATCAGCAGCCTGCCGGCAGCTCCCCTCCGGGAGGAGTCTGCTGGGAGTACGAACAGTCGGGACCGCCGCCATTACAGTATACGCATCTAAATTTCAACCTTATATTGTTTATCATTTATTTCTTTGTAATTTTCCATTTTTGACAAGACTATGTATTGTTTATAAAATCGTACTGCCTGATATTCTTACCAGCATAGAGGTATGAAAGAATACACGTCGAGAGTTGATATTTGGCACCATCATTTGCGTATAAAAAAATCCAGACTCATAGGTAGTCAGGAAACTGAGAATCGAGTCAAAATAAAATCCAAAATGGCAATCCTCTTCTACAAACAGGCAAAACAGCCACCTCACCCCACCAAAGTCAGGTAGGGGAAAGTACCACCCACAGCATTCTAAGAAGTCAACTCTGACCTTAGGACCAAACATATAGTTTCTTCTATGTTAAATAAAATTTGTAATCTAATTTTGTAAATTTGGGAGTGCTTCAAATATGATGTTAAAATGGTTTTATGTTGTTACAAGTGGTTTTTTTTAACATTATCTAGTATAGTAAAATCATAGGACCAATAAAAATTTGACATTATATTAGGGTTGTCATTACATTCGATGACATTACAATCAGGTTAAACTGTATATTGTTTGTGCAAAATAAAAAAATAATTTCGAATGATACAATAGCCATGATTATTTTTTCAAAAACAGGAACTTTTTGTTACGCATCGACAAAAACTCAACCTGGACCAACACACAACGGAGAGAAATTTTGAAATTAGATAAGTCAATTTCATCAAAGATGCATCGTGGACGATCTCGTGGTCATGGCCAGCGAAGTTTGAACAATTGTGCCCAAAAGCAGCAATATCAAAGAAGATAGGATGAATGATGCTCAAGGCAGGTCTCGTTCTCAAAGTGATTCCGTCTCTGAGACATAGTCTTGTCCCAAATACGGTTTTGCCATTTTACTTGTTAAAAATTTTAAATGATCTATTTTGGGCTAAAGACCAGAAATATATAAACATCATACAAATATAATCTCAATATCAGACCTTAAGCAGGCATTTTCTTCAATCAATTTCTTCATATTACAACCATGTAATTGAATAATTTTGAAGATCTGGATCAATAGATTTGAGAATAATTACTCTTATGATTAAAAATCATTATATTCCCAACAACTTTTCTATTATACCAATAATTACTTTGTTATAAAATTGTAGCTAATGTGTTACAAAATATATAAGTGATTTCATTGAGGGCCTTCTTTGAATACTTCTCACTGGATATAATCTCAAGTAGGTTTAATTAAATATTGATAGGTTTTTTTACTTAAGTGATAATTGACACCATTAAAAGAATGTATGCTAATATACTGTATGTTTATTTAGATGTAAAAATTTAAGTTACCTCACTTTTATTCTGCGTCAAAGCTTGTGACTTTTCTTGTTTTTGTAGAAATTTCTTTAACTTTTCTTCTCTCTTAGCATCCTTTTTAGGATTACTTTTCTTCTTTACTTCTGATTTTGAATCCATATCGGCATTATTACTTACAGTATTCATTTTCTATAACATACGAATGAGTTAAATATTGACAAATTCTTAAGTAATAAACAGGAAAATGAAAAAATGAAAAATAATTAAATTACATTAATCAAATCAAAAAACGTGGATCATAAATGATGAAATATTTACCGGATATGAAACGTGGTTGTTAACATGTTGCCAACTCAAATGATCTTAGCTTGAAAAATAAAATAGAAAATTATAACGTTTCCCCTCTTAATTTTTGTTTCTAAAGTAAAATAAACACAATTTAATTTTATTTATTTTAAATGTAAATATTGAATCATTTTATTAAACTTGAAAATGTTTGATTTAAAATCGACACTCTTTTCAGTCACGAAGGATGACGGGCAGATGGCCGAGCGGTCAAGGTGGCAGCCTACTACTATCGGGGACCCGAGATCGAATACGGTCGGGTCAAGGAAACCCTAGGAATTTTTCGGGGGTGGCCCGTTCGGATATGTCGGGCTCCGTCCCTCACCACCCGGTCGCCCCATTGTGGGCCTGGCCGAACCCATAATGGCCCTGCTGTAAGAGGCCCTCTTAGTCTCCACAGGGCGGAAAGAGTATAAAAAAAGTCACAAAGGAAAAAAATAGAAACGGCGGCAACTGGAATTGACGAATTGTCGCTAAATTTTTGAACAAGTGGGTTGGCCCGAGGGGGAAGCGAAGAAAACTAGAGTTGAGCAAAGCGAACGAGGCTGGGAGAATTAGACCTCAATTCCGCGAATTGTGGAAAGAAGGGTGAGAAGCAAGGAGGAACGAAACGAGGAGAGAACAAAGAGAGTGAAGGTTGGTCCGAAAGTAGTTGGGCCCTCGCGGGGTTGAATCGTAGAAAATTTTTGTTATGAATAGACTATATCCAGTTTATGGGGCGAGCGAACGAAGCGAACAATGTAACCACAGAATTACGTTTTTCTGTGAGACGTTCAAAAAACTCTTGATGTTCAACTGATAAGAAAAAAAAAAATGTTATTTGTTCTGGAATCCGAAGGATGTTCTATATTCGATTTTGATGGAAAAGTGTGAAAGTTTGTGTGATTTAAATAAAAACTTTTTTCTTCTTTCAATTAATTTGGGTGTGAATGCATTTCGAAATGAATCTAAACTTTGTTTATATTAAATAATCCTCACTCGAAATTGGACAGGTTAATTCATATTGATAAGCTAGGAAGACGCTCACAAAAAGTAATACTTGTGGAAATTGTACTTAATGCAGGAAATTTTTCATTAAACTGTAATTAACATAACAGTTTGTTCATAAGAATTATTTAGCTATTTATCAAAATTCAAATTTGCTTCTATTAATACTGCAAAACTTTTGTTAAAAATACAGTTCGAAATACAGTACCGGACAAAATATCCGGTAAGCTTGGGATCGAAAGAAATTCCAAGATTTCTGGATTTTCAGGTTTTCTGGACACAGATAAAATATAAAATAAACGATTGAAAGTAAAGAACTAATTCATTTTATCAGATGTAATACAATTGCGGATTTTTACTGCATAGAATACATAAGGGACTTTAAATTTCCCATCTGGAGAAGAGAATCTTGGAAGAAATTGCTGTAACGAAATTTTATCTTCGGTGCTTTTCATGAAAATTGGCTCAAATGTCTGAACATCTGCATCCAACAACATGGTGGATACATTAAACACGTCTTGTAAACTACTTTGCATACGGTTAAGTACTAAACAAATAAAGTTGAGAAAAAAACTGATGTTTCTATTGTGTTTTTCGGTAAATTATAGACTTAACATTACATCACTCCTTTCCATTCGAAAATTGTGAGCTATATAATTGTATTCAAAATGGCGGTTTTCAAGAGAGGCCACGAACGCCAACCTTTTGCCTCCATCTTGTATTGACCATATTCTGAAACAGTATTAAACCAAATTCAAGATAAAATTTTGAATAAATTACTATCAAGTCGATTTTGTTCTGTTCTAAAATTAGTAATTATAAACTATTATAATTATTGATTTTTTCCAAATCCGAAATTCTTTAAACAAATTTATGATACTATGCAGAAAAAATTTTACTTCAAACAGAATAAGAATTTTGAACTATTCTTCACGGAGAGATAAAATAGAGTAAATCGCTTCAGAAGTAATTACAACTTAATCATATTCTTATAACAATTTTAAAAGGCAACTGACAGTTTTATCTTATTAAAATAAATATACTACTACTGTTTAACTCTAGTAAATGACTAATAAGAGATTTTATTTTAAAAAAATAATTGCAAAATTATCGCAAACTTTTGCTTGTATCGAAATTAAATATCTATAAATCTATATAATGAAACGGCTGTCCCATTACGACCTTGGCCAAACTCACGATGAATCTGAGAAAGATGCTCTCTTAGTACCTACAGGACGGTTAGTAAAAAAAACCTATATAAACAATGTGTTATAGAAATGTTTTTATTCATAATATGTCGTATGCTAAGACGAATCAAGATTACTATAATAAACAATTAAAACGTCTAAGTTTTTTTAACCCACTTTATCAGGAACAATCATGTTTCTCGAAGATTGATATAAAAATCAGCTTGTTTTAGCATATTCGTTTTGACACTTTTAAAATAATTTCTTGCGATTAACAAATTCAGCAAAAACATATTATAAATAAAAATATTACAACTTTGACAAATACTGTTACAGTAATTTAGACATAATTCGCACAGAGTATAAATATTTATTAAATTGCATTTTTGCCTTTTTTTTCCTTAGAATTATCAATGTACAAAATTTGGTACGCCAGATTGTCAAATCAAACAGATAATAACGTATTATTTAAAGCTTAACGTCATTAATATATCATAAAATTCAAAAGGTTACTTCTTTATTTTTTAGAATAATAAGAAAATAAACATTATTTTCATATCTTTTCATATTCGATTTATTCGAAAGATTGTATTTTTAATTTTTCTATGAGCGTATATATATATATTTGCATGTTGTTTTAGATTTTTAGATGTTTAGTACAAAGCGTATGATGGACTTCAGTTCTGTTTAGTTTCGAAGATTTTGAACCGTAAGAAATTGTGTTCAGAACTGTCCATAACTAATTAAATTTAAGAAAAAGTCGAAATAGTCTAGACAAATGAATTAATTGGAAAATATATTAATTTATAAGCCTATAAAATGTATAAATGATATTAATATTTATTTGCAAGCTAATTTTTTAAAGTATTTAGGTATTTGATTCATTTAATTATGCTATCTAATAAATATTTAAGAATTATGTCTTAATTACTGTAACAGTATTTGTCAAAGTTGTAATATTATAGAAAAAGTCATCATAAATAAGAAATTTAATGCATTATAAATCAATAATCACTAAAAGTAATGTAGAAAACACCGCTTTTAAGAATAAGACGTCAATTGTTAGCACTGAATAATCCATTTTATTTAGTAAATTGAGACAAAGCTGGGAATTTTTTTTCTCATTCCCTGAGAAAACTTAATGCTCTATAAATTAATGTCATTTTAACTAACAAAAAAGTAAAATCTTTAAGATTTTTATTTATTAGTAGGGAAACATTCTATGTATTTTACTTTAAAAAAAAAAGAAAAAAAAATGGCAATGGCCCGCTCTACTTCTTGACTCCAAACCAAACTTTCGACAGCCCTAATCTTACGTCTTATTAAACTGATTTAAGCATATAACATGAAAAAAATTTTTATACATATTTATTAAATATAATTACTCACTATTTTTGCATTCTCTACTGCATTTATAGTTTAGTTGAGAATATAGACCTGTTACAAAATATATTTAACTGTTATAAATTCGATAACATTTTTAAAACTGTCTTCTAAAAAGTGAGAAATCAAATAGATAATCAATTTATATTAAATATATAACTTGCCTGCAAAGACAATTCCCATAGAAAGGAAAAGCATGAAAAGCAGTTTTAAGTCCATGATAATGTATGACATAATTAATTGCAGTATTTCTCTTTATATCAATGATTAGAGTATGGTTCTATTTCTTCTGTTTAAACTCTGAATAAGCATTTCGAAAATCGATACTTTTATAAAGATTTTTATCTTTCATAAATAATTATTTTGCTTAGTTTGATATAAAACTATGTAACTGTAAACCGAATAAAATAAAAATTTACAGTAAATATTTTTTTTATTTTTACCAACTCATCAGAATTAATTACTATAAATATACTAAAACCATATAAGACGGATACCCCTTAAAACGGAAAATAAATTTCGGGAGGGAGCGATTTGCTATGTGAAATACTACTATAAGCAGAAACCTGTCTAATGCGGAAACTCTTTAAGAGACAATTGCATAACATAACCTAAGTAAAGAGAAATTTTCCTGAGCTGATAAATATAAATTATAATTAATGCTGTAACTTGCCAGCTTGGATCATGATCGACAAGAATAGTAGTATACAGGGAGTGCAAAGATAGGTATACATTTGTTATTTCGGAAAACACATGCAAGAAAATGTATGTAAGAAACATTTATTTTCATATAATGATTAAATCACAAACAAGATATATAACGAAATAATAAAAGATAAAAAAATTAATAATAATGAACACCAAACATCTGAATTTCTCAGATTCATAATTGAATACCTATCTCTGCACCCACCCTGTATATAAGTTTTTAAATCTTTATTAATACCTGTACAGTACTTTATATTCGTTGCCTGAAAAGTATTGAAAGCTGTGATAATACAACACTTCTTTATTTCCTTAAGTCTAGAAGAGCTAATAAATAAAAACGTAACTTTCTATAAAATGAAACCTTCAAAAACGAAAAATTCTGGCCGATACGCGTTCCATTTCAAACAGATTTTGTTATATTATTTTATAATGCTTTATAAATAATTAAACATTTTACAGCAAATTATCTTTAATTTTTTCAATATTAATGTCAATCTAGACCAGGGGTCGCCAAAGTGGTCGATATAGACCCCCAGGGGTCGATGCAACATCATTGGGGGTCGATGCGGCTAGGGGGTCGATGCGGCTAAGGGGTCACAATTTTTTTTTTTTGCTTAGACAGAGACCACAACCCACAACGTTTTTTTTTCGCTCATACATATACACTTGTAATAAAACTTTACGGTGGGGGTCAATATGAGGCTTTGAAAAGTGATTGGGGGT